CCCCCCCTCCCGTATGCAATTCCTCCTCGCGACGCGGTCAAATAGACCGTCTTTTAAAGAATACTGTTTCATATACTTTTTATCATTTCTTTGGATCTACTTGGCCTAACAACATGATTTAAAAACTGGTTTAAAGTTCGTAGTCTCTGCTTTTCACTCGAGAGTCAGAGAGGGCAGATCTCTACAGGCAGAGTTTTTTCTTTCTTCCTAAACTTTATTTAGGTCAGCCGGCGTTGACACCGCTCTGTGAGTGACGTCATCAGCTCCGCAGCATGGCGAGGCACCCACAACACAACGAATCGAAAATGAAATTCGTTGCCAACGCTTTTAATAATCGATTTTTATCGATTTTATCGATTCGTTGTTGCAGCCCTAGTTTCATTTGTTGAAAGTAGAGGTGTGACTGGGCGGCTTTAACAACACCGCAACAGAACCAGAGTTGTTGTTCCCCCACCCCTCTTCCAGATGATGGAAATCCATCCTGGCCACATTCAAAGTGACAGAATTCTGTCGTAGTGATGAAGAACTTGAAGCCCTGCTCTGAATAGCTTTTTTTGGCAAGCCAGGCGTCCTGAAATTTACATTTTCCAGGCATGTCATCGTGCGCAACTGGACTCTGAAATGTGACAGGCAATTCACGTAATCTCTCGTGAGCAGACCGCATACTGTTATGCACACGTTTATATACACTACATACAGGAAACAGGAGCGCAGAACAAAACAAAAAATAAATAAAAATAATAATCACATATTGACAGCGGTCATCAATTTCAAATCCCCCCTCCAAATATTCAAGGACTTTCAAGGACAGGTGGCTATTTTAGCTGTTTTCAGGAACTTTCAAGGGCCTTGACATTATTTTTTCAAATTCACAAACTTTCAAGGATTTCAAGGACCCATGGAAACCCTGTGTATTATTCCAGTTTCTCCTGAGACAGCACCCTGTTACAGTCCTTCAACAAGATAACACCTGTTAACACCTGTTAACACATGTCCAAGGACTGCCTGCATCATGTTAGCCCCCAATTTACACTGAGTCCACTCAGCTCCAACCTTTGTAGGAAAAACACAACCATTATAATGAATGAGAGCATTGCATAAATTTTGAAAGTTTAAGCCCGCCGATTAAGGTCAGAGTGGTGTTTTGTTATTAGACTTCTGTGCTCGTCATCGATTGTCTATAACAAACACTATGTTCAAGCAAAAGGTTGTCCTTATGTGCTCTTGGCACCAGGACACATTAGGCTGGAGTTCAATGACTGACTTTTTTATTGTCTCATCTGATCTGTGGCCGCAAGTCTTGGACACTTGGGTGATGAGAGGGGCGGAGCTATCAACGGACAACTACCTGGTGATGAGTTGGCGCCAATGGTGGGGGAGGAGGCCGGGCAGACCTGTCAGACACAAAGGTACACCAAAGGTACTAGTGAAGGTCCGCTGGCAACATCTGGTAGATTCTCCCATCAGACTGAGCTTCAACTCCCATCCCCTGGAGAGCTTTGAACACGGGCTGTTGGGTCCCTGTACGACCGGTGTCACAGCTTGGTCCACATTGCTGGCAGTAAGTCAGGCTTGATTCCAGTGAGAGTTGGACTTCGCCAAGTTTGTCCTTTTTCACCGATTCTGGTCATAACTTTTATGGACAGAATTTCTAGGAGCAGCTGAGGTGTTGAGGTGATCTGTTTTGGTGACCTTAGGATCACATCTCTGATTTTTATGGATGATGTGGTCCTATTGGCTTCATTAGATCCTGATCTCCAGCTCCCACGGCAGCTGAGAGTGAAAAGGCCGGTCGGGAAAGAGTTTCTGCCCCAAGTGGAGGAGTTTAAGTATATTGGGTTCTTGTTCACGAATGAGGGAAAAATAGAATGGGAGATCTACAGGCGGACTGCTGCTGCGTCTGCAGTGATGTGTCCGATGCAGGAGCTGTACTGATCTGTTGTGGTGAAGCCACCAATTTATCAGTCAGTCTACGTTCCTACCCTCATTTATGGTCAGGAGCTTTGGGTAGTGACTGAAAGAAGGAGATCACAGATCCAAGCAGCTGAAATGAGTTTCCTCTGCAGGGTGTCTGGACTCTCCCTTAGAGATAGGCTGAGAAGCTCAGTCATCCAGGAGGGACTCAGAGTAGAGCCGCTGCTCCTCCACGTCCAGAGGAGCCAGTTGAGGTGGTTCATCTGGTTAGGATGCCTCCTGGACTCCTCCCTGGTGAGGTGTTCTGGACACGTCCCACTGGGAGGAGACCCAGAGGAAGACCCAGGACACACTGGAGGGACTATGTTTCTCAGCCTGGGAACACCTTGGGATTTCCCCAGAGGAGCTGGTCCAAGTGTCTGCAGAGAGGGAAGTCTGGGTCTCTCTGTTTAGGCTGCTGCCCCCGAGACCTGACCCCGGATTAGCAGAAGAAGATGGATTTTTGGGAAGCAGATGGCAATATGGAGCATGCAGCATATGCATACACACAAAACATTTTATTTTGAAATATGGATTAAAAAAAAGTAAACAGCAATGCTGTTTCCACTGTTGTTTCTACATTCAGTTTGATTTAACCTGCAGCCTTCTGGCTGGGTGCCTAGTTCTGTCTGTGATTGAGGTTCAAAAACGTAGACTCTCTTCGGTCACATCATCTTCCAACATTTTTCATCTACACTTGAACTCTCTAAGACCCTTCATTTCAGCCCTAACACATAGTGTTAGTGGGACCTTTGATCACTGCCAATGTTTTTAAACTTCACATATTAACTGTCTGTGTTGTTTCTGTCTGTTGTCAACCATTTCCTGTTTATTCAGTTCATCACTTGTAATTTTACTGCAACATGGAGCTTTAGTCACTGTCAAGTTTATTACCATGTTTTGCCTGAGAACGTTGATATCTTTCTTTGTTCATCTTTGTTTTATGTACTTGTTGTCTGAATTGTAAACTGTTTTTGGTTATTATTTTCATGACGTGTGCTGCTGACTGCTTGGCCAGGTCACCCTTGGAAAAGAGATCTTGGTAAAATGGTACTGAACTTATAGAGCGCTTTTCAAGTCCCTCCGGACCCCAAAGTGCTTCACACTAACAGACATTCAYCCATTCACACACTGATATTGAGCTCAGTGGGTTCTCATCTGGTTAAATAAAGGTGATTGATTGATTGAACTATCATTAATAAACTCACAGACTTTTAGTGAATACACCTACCCTTCTGAGAGGACCATCAGAGTTCACAGTGACTGGATTTTCAGAATGGATCCACTTAGAAGTGGGTTGCAGGCTGAGCCCAGGAGGGTAGGAGGTCGGTGTTCCGTTATGGTACTGCCAAATGATGGGGTACAGTCCAAGCCCTGCTGCACTGGAGGGACCCTAAAACAGAAACCTTTTTAGTACAACTTACTTTGAAGGAATATGTTTGGTTAACTGGAAAGAAACTACAGAGATTATCAGAATTTCCACCTGTAGGAACTGCTGCTGGTGTGTAGCTGCTGGGTGAGGAAGGGCAAGGTGACCTAAAGCCGTGGGGGGGTCCAGACGAGGATGTCCTCCAAAGAGAGAGGCTGCAGAAGGTGGGATTGCTGGGAGCATTCCAGGGGGTAAAAGGTGAGGGTGGGGCAGGGCTGAGGAGTGAGGAGGGGCGAGGAGATGAGAGGCAGTGTGGGGGTGTGATGCAGGTGTGAGGCACGGGGAGTGAGGGGAGGGGGGGTGAAGGGGGTGTAGGTGTGGGGGTAAATAGGCTGTAACATGGTTAGAAGAGCTGGCTGAAGAGGATGTGTTCTCGGCATCAGAGCGAACTAGTGCTGGGTCCCTGTAAACAGTAAAACTCTCATTCTTATCAATGATCAGCGGACTCTTAGTGCTGCTGCTGACTCCACACACCTCTGACCGCATTGGCATAGGCTTGAAATCAGACCGTGGGGGTTCTGCCGAGTCTATTTTAGTGGGAACACGAGCAGGTGGAGGTGGGGATGCATCAGAGTACCGCAGTATTTTATGTTTAGACACCTCAGGAGAAGTGTTTGGTTTAGGTTTAGACATGTCCAGCAGGCCACGGTGGGGTTTAGTTTTATGATGGTCAGCTGGGTTTGTGGTGGAGTAGGGGTGGATGGGAGAGTCACTGGGGGGCAGGGAATTTTGTTTTGAGGAGTCATGCTGAACTGAGTTGTGGCTCGGGCTCATTTTGGGTTTGGTTATTTCAGGAGGGTGGGCTGTGTTCAGTTTGTGGGGGGGTGGTTGCTGCTGTGGAGGTTTTCTCATCTCCTCTGATACAGATGGGTGTTCTCCGTGGTGGAAAGACGTGAACGGCTGCAGTTGTTTGTGTTGCTGCTGACGATGAAGGTGATGAGGTAAGACAGGTTTCTCTTCCATCCCTGGCACAGTTTCAGCTATAGATGTGACAGGCCTTAAAGACAAAACAGAAGAAAACAGATAAAAACATTTAATCATTTTCACATAAAGTAAAATAATGCACTGCTTTCTTGTCCAATTTGGTGTAATAAATCTTGTTTCTGAGCATCTGTTTGAGAGCAGTGCATTGCAATAGTTTTGTTTAAAAATGTTTTTGATTTAAACATTATTGTGTCATTTACAAGACAACTGCTTTAGAAAGAAAACATTAAAACATTTAACACTCCTCCAACCCTTGATTTATGAGTTGTTCAGTTAGAAACTAAAAAAGAAGCACTGAATACACTTTGTTTCACGATGTTTTAGTGTTGGCAGTATAGGTGGAAAGGCTATAAGAACCTTAGCTGTTTGATTAACTAATTAAATCTAGTTGTTCCCACTTTGTTCAAACACAAACACACTTGTTACACACTTGTTGAAAGATTAGCTCAAACATGCTCTAAATGTTTTGCTCTGTTCTCACCTGATGACCTCTGAGGGAGCAAACTCGGTCTTGCTGCTTGAACTCTTGGGTGATGTAATGCCACTTCCTGTGCTGCTGGGCTGCTTCACAAGAGGCTCCAGCTCCACCCTGCGACACCCCTCTGACGGAGAGGGCGATGGAGGAATGGGAGGTGAGGAGACAGGGGACGGGTTGAGAGGGAGGTAGGGTGAGAAAGCAGTGGACTCTGCGTTCTGGGAGGCGAGCAGCGCCGACACAGCCTCTGAGCTTTCCCGGTGCACGGTGGCCTGGGCGTCGTCTGTGATGTCGATGATGCTGCTGCTGTGGAGCTGAGACAGCGAATGTGTCTGGAGTCGAGCAGATGCTGAAACAGAGGCATTAAACATCAGATAACACTAATCAACATGATGAGATAATATGAGAGGAGGCTGTCAGCTGTAGCTCACCTTTTACTGGGTTCTTGTGGGGTTCTGCAGGTCCACTCTGGGTAATGTCAGGTAACAGAGTTTGTTGTATTGGAGACCAGCTGACCTGAGAGTTTGTCACCAAGTCTCCCTCTTCTTTTGTTAGAATTTTACCTGACTCCTTTATTGTACTCTTCTTAATATCATCTGCTGCCTGAAGCTCCGCCCACGGGGATACACAACCAATGAGTGATGAGGAATCATTCACCCTAGACTCCTTCATCACTTGCTTCTCATCTTCCTCCATTCTACTAATAGAGCTCTGTGTCACATCACTGCTGCGACTCTTCAGCTCATTCTCAGAGTTGGGCTCGGATGAGGAGGAGGAGAACGAGGAGGAGGAAGAGGATGATGAAGAGGAGGAGGAACATGAGGAGGGGGTGGTCCTCTTGTGTGGGTTTTCTGAGTCACTACTCTCTGACAGGTCGGACGTCATGTCGGGCTTTAGCCGCTTTAGACCTGCTTTTTTCTCCTCTTCTTCCCCTTTTCTGCGTTTGTTCACTGCCAGCTTCACCTTGGTCTTTGATTCTGGACAAACAGAAGACAAAAGTTATTGTTGGACAGAAAAACACACAGGTTTTCACAAGATCTATACAAGTGCAACAAGTTCGATATTCACATATCCATGGAGCTGGTGCCTTTCTCCAATGTTCACTAGGTGAGAGGTGGGCTAAACCCATGACAGGTCATCAGTAAATGGTAAACAGACTGTACTTATATAGTGTCTTTCTATCCATCCAGGACACACAGAGCTCTTCACACTACAATCTGTGTCCTCATTTATCCATGCACACAGCACTCGATTAGGTCTCTACAGAGCTAACATGTACAACAAAGTGGGGCCCACCAAGCCATCTGATTTGACCCACCAACAGATGCCAAAGTTACAAGGTTGTAACCTGTTATCCTATATAGAAACACAGTATTTCCACTGGTCAAATGACTATATAAAAGGGCTGCAGTGAAGGTAGTTTTCATTCATGGTGCTGACTTTATCTTTGATTTATTAGGATTAAACATGAACCATGAAATGACAAGAAATATTTAGATCAGATTTAACCCCACATGTAGATTTGCACACTTTATAAGACCACAAAAACTCATTTTATCTATTTATGAAATGTCCCATGAGCCTTTGCTATTTGAGCGTATGGCAGACTTTCTCCAAGTGTGCAGAGTAAAACAAAAGAGGGCCTTTGCATAGCTTAATCGTTAAAAATAAAGGACTTTACTTTAAAAAGTATTTGTATTTCATGTATTATATTACTGCATTTGGCCCGCAGCCCTGGATAGATAGATAGATTTTCATTTTGGCCCTTTTGGGGAAAATGTTTGGGGACCCCTGATCTATGGAGACTAATCAGTGCCAATCACATTCATACACTGATGGGACATCAGAGGCATTGGGCTGAACTGCCTTGCCCAAGGACACAACAACTGAAGCAGCTGGACAGGGGATCGAACCGGCGACCATCCAGTTCCTGGACGACTCCCCTAACCACTCTGCCACAGCCACCCCAAAGTCCAGTCCATCTCAGGACCACACAGGGTCTAGGGTTGGGCGATACTGATGAAAAAATTAATCACGATTAATTGCAGTATTAAACCGATAATGATTAATATGACGATTAATCCCCTGAAGTCTCTGGACACCCTCATGTCCTAGTCACATGACCAATTTAAATCACTCTAGTGGGAAAGATTTGCTCCTGTGAAAATCTGTTCCAAACTGTGCCAAAAGTACAGACTTCAGGCTATACATCAAATTTTAAATTGTGTTGATAGTTCAAGTAAAACCGGAGTTATGATAAATAAATTACAGAACTTTTAAAATGTTCATCACACAGTATTTGAAGCAGAGAGGAGCACCGAGTGGACTGACTGAGGAAATCTGCAGTCAGTCTGTCTGGTGGCATTAATCATATTAATCATTAAAAAATATCGTGTTAATTATCAAGTGCCAAAAAATATTTGATTATATTTTTTTATGATTAATTGCACACAGTACGATTTTGCCCAACCCAAACAGGGTCTAACAATCCCACCTGTGGGTGCAGGTTACAGTTACATTTTCACACAAAAATGTTATGTTGTTGGAGGGAACCAGAGCAGTATGTAATCCCCCCCCCACACACACACACACACAAAAAAAACATACAAACTCGACACAATACACAATAAGGTCCTCTTTAAGCTTTGAACCCTGGACCTTGTTGCTGTGAGGAAACAGTGCTAACCCTATAAATCACTGTGCAGCCCTAAATGTGTTCAAGGATATTTTTAGACATGAGCAGAGGCTGCATGAAATTGCCAAACCAGTTGTTTTTAATCATAAAAACATTGTTTCACACGATGGCTAAGCTGGTTAGCACAACAAGATAATCTCTGGTTTACTCCTGGTTGGGTCGTTTTTGGACAAACTTTTGGATGTTATCCCTCCCTGTTGGGTTTTCTTTAGGTACTCCACTTTCCTCACACAGTGTGAAAATATGTTATGTTGGTCAAACAGATATAAAATGAACCCTGGTGTGAGTGGGAGCAAAAATGGTCATCTGTATGTGATGGACCAGGGACCATCGTTTGAATGGTTGTTACCAGAACCAACATGTGTCTTTGTGATGCAAAATAACTTCACCTCGGCCCGTGGTCTCGTCTCTTCTGTCCTTGTCCTCTTCTGGAACACTGCTGTCTGATCCTTTCCTCCTGGAAGAGCGGGAGTTACGTTGCTCTCTCAGCTCTCGCCCGGTCCCACTGGGCGAGTGGTGGGACTGGCTGACCGGCAGCTGGATCTGCTGCAGCTGACTCTGCTGCTGTGGGACCAGTGCCCCCTGGGAGCTCTTGGGATTTGGTCCTGATGATGTCATCACAGGGCGGGGGCTGTTGGCCTGGGCTCGTGTGTAATGACTCTGTAAGAAGGAGAGGGTTATCATTGCTTAAAGAAAACTCACATCTGCAGCCCCTGTTCTGAAGAAAGAACAATAGCAAGCAAATTATTGTATGATCGTTTGTAAAAGTGGCAGCAACAGCTAGCTGTAGCACTTTTGGCGCAGTCTGGGTAAATTCCAGCAAGATTAAACACTTGAATCATTGTTAATGTAAAACTAAAGGTTTTTACATGAACTGCTTTGAAGTTTTGGAAACTGGAGGGTTTGATGGCAGCTCACGTCTCTTTTCACACCAGCCTTAAAACCTTAATTCTAGTCAGAGAAAAAATACTCTACTTCTCAAAACTGAGCCATCTACAACAGGGAGGATACTTGTTATAACCTTTTCATGTAACCCCAACTCATATAAACAAACCAAATCTGGCGTACAAGTAGGGCTGTGTGATAGACAGTAGAAACGGTATGAAATTGGCCTACGGTAGAAATTTATCCTCTACCATCATATTGTCAGTTACGTCATCGCACTTTTGTCAACATGTCTGTGAGTGCAGAGACAACTGAGCAGGAGGAGTTCGAAGAATAATGAAGAAATTATAGTGTTTTAAAACACGTATAGAGAATAAATCCTCAAAATTTCCCCCTCCTGCAGTAGAAAAGTTATGTTGGGATCACCCCCGACTCTCCCGCTGCACGTCACACAGAGCAAAGCTTTAACAACCGTATTTTTTCACACCCAAGTTGTTGGAGAAAAAACTTTCTTTTATGTATTGTTACCCATAGAGATAATTAAAAAAAGACGCGGACATTCGTTCAGTCATAAATCCATCTTGCTAATGTGAAGTCAGCTTCTGCTCTGATGATGAAGATGATGAAGATGAGCGCGGAGCAGTGGGTCAGTTCAGCAGGCAGAAGCTCATTGTATGACAGGCAGATATTAAAGCCAAAATGCTGGGTTTGATTACAGTTTTCTGGAAAAAAAGCTCTAAAAATTACATTATCTTTAATTTTTATGATAATTTTCTACCGCGATATATACCGTTATCGTGAAGGGATTCAGTTTATACCGTGATATGAATTTGAGATCATACTGCCCAGTCCTACATACAAGTCTTGGTTTCTGTCGTAACTCCGGTTCTCTGAGTAGCATGAGTGAGTGTCTCTCAAGGTCACCCTTAATTCCACCTGATCCAGACACTCAAAGGGTGAAGCAGTGAGTCTCCAGTACCAGGGGAAGATCCGATGTTACATTCAATATTTTAAAGATGAATGGACATCATATCTAGAATATAAGGATTTACCAGGAACATCTGCATCTACTCTCTGGGAGGCAGGGAAGACAGTGATGAGAGGAAAAATATCATTCTCAACAAATAAAAAGAAAAAAGAAAATTAACGTATTCAGGAATTAGAGAAATCAATAGAGATGTTAGGAACCTTGCAAAGTGAAGAAATAAAGCAAAAAATAAGGAAAGCAAAATTTGAATTAATAAATTTATTGACAAAAAACAAATTCTTGACACAAAGACTTAGATTAGAAAACTTTGAGCACTGTAATAAATCAGGATGCTTTTTAGCTAACCCAACTAAAAATTAATAAAGAGAGAACAACTATATATGGTGTTAAAGACATAACTGGAAACATAACTTATGATCAAGAAAAAGTAAACGGTGTTTTTAGAGATTTCTATAAAGCATTATACAGCCCGCAAACAAATCCATCAGATGAGGACATTAATCACTTTTTAGAAAAAAACAACACTTCCAAAATTATCCAGTAGTCAGTCTTCAGAACTAGATTCCCCATTAACATCAGCCGAACTCTGTAACGCTATAAAAGGCATGCCTAAGATCAAAGCACCAGGTCCGGATGGGTTTCCAGCAGAATTCTATAAAGCATTCTGGAATATCCTGGCACCAATACTTCACAAAATGCTACAGGAGTCAGAGGATCATGGCAGACTTCCAGTACATATGAATTCAGCCAATATCAGTTTGTTATTAAAACCAGACAAAGACCCTGTATTGACTACCAGTTATCGTCCAATTTAACTTACTAATGCTGACGTTAAAATCATTTGTAAGGCCCTATAAGATTAGAGAAGATAACCCCTCTCATTATTCATCCTGATGGCAAGGGCCAGGCTAGGTGAAGAGTCAGCAGAGGAAAAACTTTACTTTTATTTTATTTTTTGTTAATGGCAGCAATGGATAAAAGACATGGGATCAAACCAGCTGCTCTTCTAGCTAATTTAATAACAGGCTTCAGACAGAAAAATAACTTTAAACAAAATAAGATGTCCTGCTCCTCAGCACTGTGTTGTTCCTCATGAACAAACGTAGCTTTATCCTCTGTAGGTTTCACGAGTGACAAACAATGAAAAACAATAATTTGTGCTCTCAGGTATTTTTGATTTATGTAAATAATTTATTTGAATGCAACACACATTTAACTTGGTTGTATCCTCTTTTACTTAACATTATTGGATTTAGGAAATGTTTCGCAATTTGTTTGATTTTTGAACAATTTAGTGTGTTGAGAGCCTTAATGTTTTCAATCTCTTAAAAGTTGTGACGGTTTACAAGGTTTTAATTTGTTTGTTTGTTTTTTTGTTTTTTTTATATAAAGGGGTGCCAGCCAGGTATCCCTCCTGACAAGTAGGATATTAGTTTTACCTTGTATTCTAGGAAACCTGACACATCAGGACCATACACTTCATGGTGTAGACCCTTAAAATGAATGACAAAAAATACATTGTTTTTTCTTTTATATATATATACACACACAAAAAATATTCAATAAACAAGAAAATAATTATTTACATGTTCTTCTTTTTTTCAGTCCTGTGTTTTCAAAATGTCCATGAATAAACAATAAATAAAACCCCACAATCAAACAATAACAAAAAACAATAAGTGTCCGTTTGTTTGTTTTTTTCTTTTCTTTTCAAAGTCCAAATAATAGGGGTAGGCAAAAACTCCCGTACCCTTTTTTTTCTTTCCGGATGACGTCACCGCCTCAGGACTTCCGCTTTGCCACGTAGGAGTGTGGGAGACGCGTTTTGTCTTCTCTCACTCTTTTGTACAGGATCACCACTCAGCGTGACGAAAGAACGTAAATATAAGTACTCGAGGGTTTTAACCAGCCTCGGTCTTATTTTCTTTCTTTCTTTATTTTTTTAATTCCTATGAGTAGCGTCAATCACTGCTGTAATGTCTGCGGTGCTGCTTCTATCACCGGGTCTGGAGAAAGACTGCCATTTTTACCCCCGTGGTACAGCAACACCCTGAACCAGGCAACCAATCAGGTGAGTCCATTGGAAGAACGGTGTATTACAGGGCGTGTCTAAGAGTGCATCAGGACGGGAGGGGCCGAGGGAGAGAGGAAAACAGTGCAGCCAGCTGATAGCAAACAGCGGGTTGTCACACACCCCCCCCTTTGAGAAGTCCCGAACTACTGAGGGTAAATACAGGTTCCATTTTATCTGATTTTTTTTTTCAGTTCTAGATATTCCATCATGAAAAAGAGAGGAAAAAAATGCTTATTTTTTATTTTTTATTATTTTTTTATTTTTAAGATTGATGATAAAAGGGAGTTGCTTCTTTCTTTTTTTTCTTTTTCTTTTGTATTTATTTGTCTCCTTTTTCCATCAGGTCAGAAGAAAGGAATCCATGGAAATCTTCGTCATCACTTTCTTCATCAAATATTTCCATGACTTTTTGACGTTGCGATTTATCCCATTCCTCTGCTTTAGGGTAACACGGTTTGAGTTGGGATATGTTAACCACATGTAGGTCTTCTCCAGTGTCTTCCAACACTACTTCATAATTTATAGGGCCGGTCTTTTTTGTGATACGGTATGGTCCCTTCCATCGTGGAGCAAGTTTTGCAGTAAAGGACTGATCTGCTTTAGACAAAGGATGTGAGCGAATCCATACACGATCCATCTCTGCAAAGTTTCCATCYCTTCTTCCACGATCATAGTTCCTTTTTTGTCTTTGTTTGGCTTTTTTCAGGTTGACATCAACAAACTGGCGAAGTTCATCAAGCTGCTTTGCRGTAGCATACACAGGGGTGTCGGGGTCAGACAAGATTGGACGAAGTTCTGCGTCCAATGGTCCCTTAAGAGGTCGTCCCAAGTTTAGTTCAGCAGGGGTCACGCCTGTGGATTCATGTACYGCAGAGTTCAATGCAAATCGAAATTCTGGTAGGTATTTRTCCCAATGTTTATGTTTTCCATTAACATATGATGAAATCATAGCCTTGATGTTACGGTTAATTCTTTCTGTGAGATTGGTTTGTGGATGGTAGGCTGTAGTTCTTTTTGATGTGAGGTTCCATCTCTTGCAGGTTTCGTCAAAGGTAGAAGAAATGAACTGAGGTCCTTGATCAGATAGTATGTATGTTGGTACACCCCATCGTGTTAAAATCTCTTTGGTTAGGTAATGAGACACTGTTTCTGCTGTAGCTTTGCGAAGGGGAAACATTTCAACCCACCGAGAGTAATAATCCACAAAAACAAGGAGATGGATGTTGCCATTACTGCTTCGTGGGAAAGGTCCCATAAGGTCCACACCTATCATTTCCCATGGTGCATTCACTTCTGTTTGCTGTAGTTTACCAGGGGCTTTTCGTGTTTCTGGTTTGTACATTTGACATATTTGGCAACATCTCACATAGTCTCGAACATCCATGCTCATCCTTGGCCAATATACCAAGGCTTGTAGTCGTTTGTAGGTTTTGTACCGCCCAAAATGTCCAGATAGGGGGTCATTATGGTTGTGATGAAGTAATTGGTGACGGAGTGATGGAGGAATGTAAACTTGGTAAAGTGTTTTGTGTGGGAGTTGAACAACTCTGTAAATTTTGTCTTCTAGAATGGTGTACTTGATGGTCGGTGTTTCCTGTACTGATCCTTTTTCTATTATTTGTTGGTAGAGGTCTTGTGCAAAAGGATCTTCCTGTTGAGCTTTCCAGATGTTCTCATCAGTTATTTGTAGTTGGCGGGAAGTGTCTCGCATTGACCGGAGAACAACTGCACAGGTAACTGGGGCATGGTTGGAAATGTCGATTGGGGCCCGTGACAGAGCATCTGGGACTGTGTTATATTTTCCTTTTCGATATTCTACAGTGA